CTAAGATGGCGGCGGCGGCGGCAGCCGTGGCGGGGGCGGGGCGCGGTGGCGGGGGCGCGGAGCCCGGGCAGGAGCGGAGCCGGGCCCGAGGTTGGGTCGGCGCGGAACGCAGCGAAGGCCGGAGGTGACTGCAGGGCAGCGGGAGGGCAGCGCCAGGGCGGGGGCACGTTAGGGCCCGGGGCGCTAATGGCGGCGAGGGAGGCAGGGCCGGAGCCTGGCCTTCGCTTGGGCTCTAACCGGCCCGAGTTCGAGTCCGGTCGTTGCCCGTTGACCTCACACGGGCCTGTATCCGCTCTTGGCCTCAGTGTCCCGGTCTTCAAGTGTCGCCGAGATCGCCTGTGGGGGGAGCCTGGCTCTCCATGGCCTCTAGGGTTAGCGAACCTGCTCTTTGCTTCTGCCCATCAGCTTACCTGCGGGTCTCAAGCCTGGAGGTGTAGCCTGGGTCCGTGCCAGTTCACACTTCAGCTCTGCCACCCACTGCGGGTGTGACCTTGGGCAAGTCAGTTGTTATATTCCTTTGTGAAGATGAAGCAAGTGAGGCACAGAGACAGTAAGTCTTGCCCAAGGCCACACAGTTTAGCAGAGTGCCTGGCAGAGCCCAGCACTGTAGTTACTGTCCAAAGCCTTGATTCAGTTCTCTCACTGCAGGATGGAGCCAAGTGAGGAGCCAGAGGAGGAGGACTCTCCAGGTGGCAGAGAGGATGGCTTCACTGCTGAGCACCTGGCCGCGGAGGCCATGGCAGCCGACATGGACCCCTGGCTGGTGTTTGATGCCCGTACCACGCCTGCCGCTGAGCTGGATGCCTGGTTGGCCAAGTACCCACCATCCCAAGTTACCCGCTATGGGGACCCAGGTTCACCCAACTCTGAACCTGTGGGCTGGATTGCAGCCTATGGGCAGGGCTATGCCCCCAACTCAGGTGATGTACAGGGCCTCCAAGCAGCCTGGGAGGCTCTGCAGACCAGCGGCCGGCCCATCACGCCAGGTACCCTGCGCCAGCTGGCCATCACCCACCATGTGCTTTCCGGCAAGTGGCTGATTCACCTGGCACCTGGCTTCAAGCTGGACCATGCCTGGGCTGGTATTGCCCGTGCTGTGGTTGAGGGTCAGCTTCAGGTAGCCAAGGTGAGCCCACGGGCCAAGGAGGGTGGGCGGCAGGTCATCTGTGTTTACACTGACGATTTCACGGACCGCTTGGGTGTACTGGAGGCAGATTCTGCCATCCGTGCTGCAGGCATTAAGTGCTTGCTTACCTACAAACCAGATGTCTACACCTACCTGGGCATCTACCGAGCCAACCGCTGGCACCTTTGCCCCACTCTCTATGAGAGCCGTTTCCAGCTTGGAGGCAGTGCCCGTGGCTCTCGAGTGCTGGACCGTGCCAATAATGTAGAACTGACCTAGGGGAGCTAAGAGGGAGAGACCATCCTCTGCCCCCTGCTGGGGATGGATCCTTCTGTCTCCCTCCTCCTTGTCCCAAGAAGGCCACGTTCCCTAGTTCTGAGGACTAGTTCAATGGGAACTGCCTGCACTCAGACCCCTTGGACTTATGCTCTCTGTGCAGGGCCAACTCCAGCCCTACAGGCTGGGGGCTCTGGCTCCCTGAGGGCCGGGCCCTCAGTGTCCCTCTTTGATGCTGCTCCCCTCCACTGCCCAGGACCACAGGTTGGGTGCAGATACTCCAGAGCGCCTGTCCTGGCCACCTCTGTTCCTCTACTACTGTCCTCTCCCTTTACCTGCATTCTTCCCTCCTTCCTCCCTCATAAGGGAGAAAACCTAGTGCTACCAGTCCCTGCCCTTGGAGCCATCATAGTCCAGGTGGCAGGGGTCCTGAAGGACTGAGCATGCTGTTTGGACCTGTTCATCATCTGACCAAATGGGGGTGCAAGGTCATGGACATGGGACCTGCCCCTGCCAAATCACAGCCTGCATCACCCATCATCCCTTCCCTGCCTACCTTGACATGTGCCTGCTCCTGGCATTTCAATAAAACCCACCTTGGGTCTATGTCTTGAGTGTTTTTTAAAATACTGTCCTAATGGTTACCTGCTTTGGCTTCTGGGGAGAGGCAGGGCCAGCAGAAGCTGTTCCCAATCTGACCAGGCTTCCTTGTCTGCCCCCAGTGGTAAAGGTACATTTCACTGCCAAGGGCTAGGCCCCCTTTCTGAGAGCCTCTGCAAACTGATCTGGCCCCTCTGCATCACACAAGTCAGAATCAGTTTATATTTCTATAAATCTAGGTGTTGGACTTTCTAGGAAGCCCCAAGTGGCCACTCTTTGTGCCCAAAGTGCATTTGTTTCAGGCTTTTTATTTTTTTTAAAGAGGGTTTTTTGAAATATTTATCATTTTTTATTTTATGTGTATGAGTATTATGCCTGCATGTAGGTAAGTGCACCCATGTCATGCAATGCCCTCGGAGGTCAGAAGAGGCCTTCGGATCCCCTGGAACTGGAGTTACAGACAGTTGTTAGCTTCTATGTGGGTGCTGGGATTCGAACCCAGGTCTGCAAGAACAATCAGTGTTCTTGACCGCTGAGCTATCTCTGCAGCCCCTATTTTAGGCTTTTTTTTGTCTTTTTGAGACAGGGTCTCCCTGTAGCCCCAGCTGTCCTGGAACTCACTATGTAGACCAGGCTGGCCTTGAACTCAAAGATCCGCCTGCCTCTGCCTCCCAAGTGCTGGGATTAAAGGTGTGTGCCATCACAACCGGCTCTGTTTTAGACTTTTTATTTTTTTATATATATTTTATTATTTTAATTTTATGTGTATGAGTGTTGTGCTAGATAGCTTTCATGTTAACTTGACACACCTGGGTTGAGGGAGCCTCAATCGGGAAATTGCCTCTATTGGACTGGCCTGTGGCCATGTCTGAAGGGCATCTTCTTGATGAGTGATGTGGGAAGGCCCAGCCCACTGTGGGTGGTGACACCCCAGGCTGGTGGGCCTGTGTTGCATAAGAAAGCAGGCTGAGCAGGGGCCAAGGTAGCAAGCCAGTAAGCAGCATTCCTCCATGGTCCAGCTCCTACCTCCGGGTTCCTGCCCCAAGTTCCTACCTTGGGCTCCCTGATGAAAGCGACCTGGGAGATGTAAGACAAACCCTTTCCTCCCCAAGTTGGTATTGGTCAGAGTATTTTTTGTCATAGCAGTGAAGAACAAACCAGGACAAGTGTATTGCCTGCATGTATGTGAGTGCACCTGTGTCGTGCAATGCCGTGGAGGTCAGAAGAGAGCTTTGAAGTCCCTGGGAACTGGAGTTAAAGACGGTTCGTAGCCACCATGTGGGTGCTGGGAATTGAACCTGGGTCCTCTTCAAGAACAGTCCGTGCTCTTAACTGCCGAACCATCTCTTCAGCCTCTTTTAGGCTTTTTTTTTTTTCTTTTTTGGTCTTTTCGAGACAGGGTCTCCCTATAGCCCTAGCTGTCCTGGATTCACTATGGAGACCAGGCTGGCCTCGAACTCACAGAGATCCACCTGCCTCTGCCTCCTGAGTGCTAGGATTAAAGGCATACACCACCATGCCCAGCTGTTTTAAGCTTTTTAAAAAAAAATTTTTTATGTGTATGAGTATATTGCCTGCATGTGTTGGAAGTTCACCCGTGTTGTGCAGTGCCCATTGGAGGTCAGATGAGGGCATCAGATTCCCCTAGAACTGGAGTTACAGTTGTTAGCTGCCATGTGGGTGCTGGGATTTGAACCTGGGTCCTCTGCAAGAGCAATCTGTGCTCTTAACCACTGAGCCATCTCTCCAGTCCTCTTTTTTTTTTTTTTTTTTTTAAGTTCCATTTATTTATTGAGAGGCTAGAGCATCTTGTGCACACATTTGGAGGTAAGAAGACAACTTGAGGATTCAGTTCTCACCATGTGCATCCTGGGGGTCTGTCTCAGGTTGTCAGGCTTGGCAGTGAGCACCTTTACCTACTGATTCATTTCACTTTTTTTTTTAATTTTTAATTTTATGTGAGTATTGCTTGCATGCATGTAAGTGTATCCATGTTGTGCAATGCCTGTGGAAGTCAGAAGAAGGCGTTGGATCCCCTGGAACTGGAGTTATAGATGGTTAGCTGTCGTGTGGGTGCTGGGAATTGAACCTGGGTCCTCTGCAAGAGCAGCCTGTGGTCCTAACTGCTGAACCATCTCCCCAGCTCTGGCACACACCTTTAATCTCAGCACTTGGGACACAGAAGTAGGAGGGTATCAGTTCAAGGCTAACCTGGTCTATATAGCAAGTTCCAAGTCAGCCCAGGCTACATAATGAGGCTGATGTGGAGTTTTATGTAACTGGGGAATCACCTTTTTTTTTTTTTTTTTTTTTTTTTTTTTGAGATAAGGTAGAGGCTCATGACTAGTCCCCCAGCACTTGGGAGGCAGAGGCAGGCAGGGCTCTATGAGTTAAAAGCCAGCCTAGTCTACATAGTTACAGGCCAGCTGGGGATACAGAAAGACCCTGTCTCAAAAAGACCAAAAAAAAAAAAAAAAAAAAAAAAAAAAGAGTATGTAACCCTGGCTGACCTGGAACTCCTTATGTAGACTGGCCTTGAAGTCACAAGGATCCACCTGCCTCTGCCTCCCCAGAGCAGGGCTTAAGGGCTTCAAGGTGTGAGTGCCACCACTCCCTGCTGTTTTTTTGAAACAATTTTATCATGTGACACAATTGGGCCTCCAAGTCCTGATCTGCCTACCTCAGACTCCTGAGTAGTGGGATTAGAGGCCTGAGCCACCACACAACACTTCCATGGTGACCCAGTGCATGTTGGTGAAAAGTGCTCTTTTAGTCCCAGGCTGGAACATAGGATTTGGCAAATTGAGAATTAGCTGGATTGCAGCACCCTGGGCTAGAACAACCTACAGTGATCAGCCTGAATAGACAGGTAGCATTCCAGAAGCCTGAGTTTGCATTCACTTCTGCCACCCTATCCCAGGAGTCACTAAACAGTTTACAAAGCACCTTCCACGCAACACCTAACTCTCATGACCTCTTTAAGGAGATGCCGGCCCCATTCTGAGGCCAAGAGGAGAAAGGATAATCCAGGGTAATGCGGTGAGGCGGCAGAGCTGGGACTTGCCTCTGGTCCCTGCCTCTTCCTCAGGCAGAGTGCAGTCCTTGACCTGAGGAGACACCTCTTCACAACCATGGAAACACCGCCACCCACATGATCTTGTGACCACCCTGTGTGGCTGCTGTAGCCTCGGGAGCCAGCCTAGTTTGTGCGCTACCATGTGCCTCTCCAATCCTATGCCTGGCCTTGCCTTGGTTGGGGGCCAGCAGGGTTGGCAAGGAGCCCCTTAATATGCTGCTCTCGTGCAGTGCCAGAGCTGACTCAGCCTCTAGCAGCCTCACCAAGTTGGAATTTGGAGCAGAGGAGCGGAGATGCCACTGGGCTGACTGGGTGGAAGTGGTTGAGTCATGAGATGCTGGTTTAACCCCCTCCCCAGCTTCCTTCCCCACCCTCTGCGTCCCCAGGACTGAGTCCACCTCAGCCCCAACTTGGGAAGTCCCCGGAGTCAGAACTGGAGTCAGGTGCCCCTGCCTGCCTCTGACTTATTGATGCTTTGCACTTGACCAAAGTAGGCCAAGGCTTCCTAGGCAGGAGTGGGGCCTCTTGGCTGAGCCATTATGTTCCCACAAAGATGCCCAAGTGGTACAGGCAGCCCTGGGTTGTTCTTTTTCCATGATGAAGCCTGATGCATCCCTCTTCTTCACCTCTGTAACCCCTTCCTCTCTGTGTCTCCCAAGCCATGGCAACAGCCACTAATTTGCCTCCTTAACCCCACATCTTCCCTGCGCTCTCTCTTCCCCCTTACCCAGATCACAGATCCCTCTGTAGAGCTACCCACACCCCTATCCTACTGAAAGACCCTCTGTGGTTCCCCAAAAGCAGCCTCCAGAAACAAAGCTCAGTCTATGAGGTTAGCATGGACCAGGCCCCCATCTGCAGTCCCAATTTACCTCAGGCACCCCCTTCTGCTTGTGCACTCCACTGAAGTCAACTGGCACTTCCTTCATGCCCTCCACATGGAGTGGCATAGAGCCTGCGGCCTCAGGCTTCTTGAACTCCTGCTGTGCACACTGATCATAGGACCAGTGGCTACTTAGTAAATACCTGGTTGATGGCTTATCTCCTGCAGCTCCCTAAGCCCCATGCCAAGACTGTGTGCTCTAGTATCTAAATTTCAGCCCTCACCCATAGCAGCCTCTCCAGAGATTATCAAATGAAGTAATGGCTTAGATCCGGCTCTTAGATCCCTCCCACCTCATCTCTCCACTTCCTGCTCATCTTTGCTTCAGAATGTGGCTTTCTTGCACATATTCTGGCCTTTCTGTGTGGGGCCATTGTTCATGGATAGCCTTTGCTTGGCCTGCCTGATCCTCACCTACTTTCCTGGCTAACTCCACTCCATCTCAGACCCACTGCTGCCATCCATCTTCCAGGCTCCTACTATACCCACCTACTTGTGGCTCTCATCTGTGTGTCAGGACTCTCAAAGACAATGACTGGGGTTTACCTCCAGGGTATCTCCAGCACAGAGCCCAGGCTGATGCAAGCACCAGAATCTCTCTGTAGCCTCAACTGGTCTGGAACTCACTATGTAGACCAGGCTCACAGAGATCCACTTGCCTCTGCCTCCCAAGTGCTGGGGTTAAAGACCTGTGCCACCACGCCTGGCAAATCAACATTTAAAAAAAAATATTTTATCTATTATTTTTTAATACTTTACTTATTGTTTTTATTTTATGTGTATGAGTGTATTGCCTGCAGGTATGTGAATGCACCCTTGTCGTGCAATGCCACAGAGGTCAGAAGAGGGCTTCAGATACCCCTGGAACTGAAGGACAGTTTGTGGCCACCATGTGGGTGCTGGGAATCAAGCCTGGATCCTCTGCAAGAGCAGTCAGTGCTCCTCTTAACTGCTGAGCCATCTCTCCAGCCCCATGTTTTATTTATTATTTTTATTTTCATTTTTTTGGTCTTTTTGAGACAGGGTGTCCCTGTAGCCCCAGCTGTCCTGGAACTCACTATGTAGACCAGGCTGGCCTTGAACTCACAGGGATCCCCCTGCCTCTGCCTCCCGAGTGCTGGGATTAAAGGCATGTGCCACGCCCAGCTAATATTTTTATTTTATGTGTATGCATGTGTTGTCTGTGTGTAGGTAAGTGCACCTGTGTCATGTAATCTCCGCAGAGGACAGAAGAGGCTGTCAGATACCCTGGAACTGGAGTTACTGACAGTTAGCTGCCATGAGGATGCTGGGATTCAAACCTGGGTCTTCTGCAAGAACAATGTTCTTAACTGCTGAGCCATCTCTCCAGCCCCAAATCAACACTCTTAATTAATGACTGACTGAATGAAAGTCATTCTCTGTGGGCCTCAGTTTCCTCGTTCTGTTAACAACAGCCAGACACTATGATAAGTATTTACCTACATTATCTCATCTAAGCTTTGTTTAGCTCTGTTATTATTGCCATTTTGCAGAAGAAGAAACTGAGGCCCAGAGCAGTCCAATTAATTATCTCAAGGTGACAGCTAGATGACAGAGCCAAGATCTAAGCCCAGATCATCCAATTCCAGATCATCTGATATATGGTTGAGCCCTGTTGTCTGAAACAGGGCTCTTGGCTGAGAAGCTGAGGCCCAGCCTACCTGGAAAGGAAAAATCTCTCTGGCCTACAGGGGGGAACTGCTCCTTTGAGATGCCAAGGGTTTTCTCAAAACCTAGGCAGGGGGGCTCTGCTTTGTTTAGTCAGCTCCTGCCTATGTGGGGGTACAGAAGTGCCCAGTTGTGTGTGGGCTGGCCAAACTTGCACAAGCCCTTGTGATCTGTTCCACTCATAAAACCAAGAAAAAGATGACAGAAGCCAGGAAGACAAGTAGACATCCTCATCATCCTCTCCACCTTCCCAACACACTCGGCAAACCTCGGGCCCCAGGGAGAATGGGGAGACTCTGCTTAACCCCTAACTCCAGCTGGGACCTGGGGCAGAATCTGAGAGGACAGGAAACAGCTGAATGAGGAGATGCTTCAACCAGAGCTTTGGCAGGATTTTGGGGATTTTCCTGGCAGGGCAGCTGCTCCCCACTCCCGCCGACTGGGAGGGGCCCTGGCAGAGATGAGGATTGGGTCACACAGGCTGATTCACTGAGAAGGGAAACTCCCCATTTCTGTGACGCGCATCCCCTAGGCATTGGGGGGTAAAACTAAGGGCACCAGGCTGAGAAACCCTCCAACCCCACTTTTCTTTGGTCACTGGCCTCCTAGGAGAGCATAGTAAGCCTGAGACTAGAAAGGATCAACAGGCAGGGTCACAGGGTTATGGGGGCAGCTTCCCAGGAAAGGAACCCAGAGATCACAACCAGAATGAAGGGATCTTTTCCCACCCATTTTGTATACATAAGATGTATACGAACGTGTTCTGTGCCAGGCATACCCTGGGCACCTCACATGCAGTACAGCCCTCCTTTTATTGGTAAGAAAACTGAGACAAAAAGATGCTCAGTAGGCTGGGTATGTGGTGGCACTCGCCTTTAATCCCAGCAATAGGGAGGTGGAGGCAGGTGGATCTCTATAAATTCAGAGCCAGCCTGCTCTACGTAGCAAAGTGAGTTCCAAGCCATCTAGAGCTACACAGAGCTCTGTGTCTCAAAAACGAAACCAAACCAAATCAAAAACCCAGGATGCTAAATAAGTTGACCAAGGTCAAACCAGGGGTGTCTATGCAATACTTGAGAAGCAGGAGGGTCTGGAGTTCAAGTCCAACCTCAGCTTTAACAAGCTTGAGGCCAACCTGGGCTACATGAAAGCCTCAAAAAAATAAAATAAAAATAAAATAAATAAATGGCCACGGTGAAAGCTAGAAATGCTCTGACAGGCTGCACAACTCCCAAGAATATTTTCTACACTTGGGTGTCAGGGTGCTCTGCCCCTGGTCCCTTAGTAGCTCTGGCTTCTGGTGACGGAGACCTCCCTGAGGTAAAGTCTGAGCCAGTTTAGGGAGGAGGATCTTCTATCATTGGATTCAACCCACTGGGAACCATAGAGGATGGTCAGGTCCTGTACCCAGCCATGACAGAAAATCAGCCAAACCTTCAGAGGCCAGGAGAGGGCAGTGAAGTGTTCCCGCCAGAATTTTCTCCAGGGTTTTGATAGCTGTCCAAACCCCAATCTTTCCACAGAGCCTCCCTTTCCTGTCTTGCTGCTCACCTCCCCCAGTGCACCAAACTCTCTCTCTCTCCCTCTCTCTCTCTCTCTCTCTCTCTCTCTCTCTCTCTCTCTCGCCCTCGCTCTCTCTCTCTCTCGCCCTCGCTCTCTCGCGTGCTCTCTCTCTGTCCAGCCTCTTGTCCCTCAGGGAGCAGAGCCCCCAATGGCCTGCTCCCCTTTGCCCAGGGCAGGGGGCACTGCAGGTGTCCCGGGGGACCTGAGGACTGTGGCTCCATGAGGTGTGGCCAGCAGCCCCACACAGGCATGCTTTGCCCCATTTGGCTCTTGTTCACCGGTTGCATGATTCACTCCCTTGCCCCCCATGACTCAGTTTACACCAGTGCCTGGAGGTCCTCCCAGCAAGGGTGGGGTGGTTTATGGGTCCAGCCCAGGCCCGCCAGACTTTCATCCTAGGATGAGCGTTTCATCCCACTCCTGGCCCAGAGCAGGAGCTGGCACCACTGGGGACAGCAAGCCTGGCTCCAGGGAGCCTGGGGACAGGAAGTGTGTGGGGTGGTGGGGAGGTTCTAGATCTGGGCTTTAGGAGGACTGGGAAAACTAAGTGACAAGCTCCAACTATCCTGGGCTTGGGTTTGAGGAAACAGGAGTCACTCTGTGGTGTCAGGTCGAGCAGGCAGAGCCACTCTGGACACAGAAAGGGAAACCATGGCACAGAATAGATCAGTAAGAAAATTCTTGAAAACATTTCCTGACTCCTTACTGGGTCCCCCTCTGAGCACTCTCCACGTCTTACCTTGTCTGCTCCCTGAATAACTCTGAGAAGCAGATCAAGCATTAACACCTGTTACAAACAAGGAAACAAGGCATGGAAAAGTTGAGGGATCGCTGAGATCACCCAACCAGTAATAAACGGAGGTTCTTAGAAGAGCTGAATGAGTTAATGCACAGAAACTGCTTAAAGAATGGCTGGAAGCCTGGTGTGGTGGCGCACGCCTTTAATCCCAGCACTGGGGAGGCAGAGGCAGGCGGATCTCTGTGAGTTCGAGGCCAGCCTGGTCTACATAGTGAGTTCCAGGACAGCTGGGGCTATAGGGAGACCCTGTTTCAAAAAAAAGAATGGCTGGCACAGAATATCTGTGTTTGCTTTTACTATGAGTCTCAGTTTTCTTACCTGTATAATGGATGAGAAAGGACATCTGAAGCACCCTGGCCAACCTTCACTCCCGTTGCAGTTAGCTTTTCTTCCTCCAGGAGCTGCCCCCTTAGCCCTGCCACCCCCACCAGGCATCTCATGCAGTTAACCCCTCCCAAGTTATGTGGGTTAGAGCAGGACTCAGAAGCCTAATGTTCACCCCTGCCTTGTAGCTAGCCCCTGAAACCTCTGGTTTTAGAGACTTCAGTATGTGAACTATTGATATACAAAAAGGAGAAACTTGGGCTAGAGGGATGGCTCTGTGGTTAGGAGCACTTTTTTTTTTTTTTTTTTTTTTTTGGTTTTTTTGAAACAGGGGCTCCCTATAGCCCCAGATGGCCTGGAACTCACTATGTAGATCAGGCTGGCCTTGAACGCACAGAGATCCACCTGCCTCTGCCTCCCAAGTGGTGGAACTAAAGGTGTGCCTCACGACACCCGGCGTTAGGAGCGCTTTTGCTTTTCCAGAGGGTCCAAGTTCGGTTCTCAGCACCCACATGGGGACTCACAACCTCCTGTAACTCCAGCTCCAGGAATCTATACCCTTTCTGGCTTCTTCAACCAACTTCACACACACACACACACACACACACACACACACACACACACACATGAGAGACAGAGAGAGACACAGAGACAGACACAGAGACAGACAGAGAAAGGATACAGTCATACAGTACAGACACTCATGTAGACACATAAATAAAACTAAAAGTAAATCTCGGAGATGGCTTAGCAGTTAAGAGCACTTACAGAGAACCTGGGTTTGGTTCCCAGCACCCAGAGAGCAGCTGACAACCATCTGTAACTTTGACACTCTCTTCTGCCCTTCATGGACACTGCACATACATGGCTTACTTACATACAAGCAGGCAAAACACTCATACACACAAAATAAATATAAATAAAATATTTTAGAAAAATAATAAAAATAAATCTTTTTTTTTTTTTTCTTTTCTGGTTGTGGGGCAGCTCTGAACTCCCAGCACCTGAGAGACTGGCGTAGAAGGATTACTATGAATTTGAGGCCAGCATTGACTACATAGTGAGATTTAGGTCAGTCTGGGAAACATATCAAGACCCCATGTCAAAAACAAGTAAGACCAAGAATGCACAAAGATCTGCCTGCCTCTGCCTCCCAAGTGCTGGGATTAGAGGTGTGTGCCACATACCCAGCTCTAAAAATAAATCTTTAAAAAATGGAAGAGGGGCTGGAGAGATGACTCAGTAGTTAAGAGCACTGGCTGCTCTTGCAGAGGACCTAGGTTCAATTCCCAGCATCCACATGGCAGCTAACAACTGTCTGTAAGTCCAGTTCCAGGGGAATCCAATGCCCTCTTCTGACCTCCATTGGCATTGCACCACACAGGTGTACTTACACACATGCTAGCAAAGCACTCATACCCGTAAAATAAAAATAATAAAATTTTAAAAAATATTTTATTTTTTTCTCTTTATTTTATGTGTATGCATGTATTGCCTGCATGTAGGTAAGTGCACCTGTGTTGTGCTATGCTTGCAGAGGACAGAAGAGGCCATTGGGTCCCCTGGAACTGGAGTTTCAGACAGTTGTTAGCTGCCATGTGGGTGCTGGGATTCAAACCCAGGTCTTCTGCAAGAACAGCTGCTGTTCTTAACTGCTGAGCCATCTCTCCAGCCCCCAAAATAATACAATATTTTTAAAAGTAAATCTTTTAGAGCCATTGAGGTCCTCATCTGCCTCATGAGGCTCAGGGACAGCAAAGGGTAAGGTACACATGGGTCAGTAGCCATTCTGGAGGAAGGCCATTGGGCACCCAGTGACCCCCCAGCCTTCACTGCAGCTTCACCGCACTATTTCCAACTTCTCTTCTACAGCCTGGGCCCACCAAATGGCTTCCCTGACCCCCGGGAGCCTAAAGGGCCAGGTCAGGACAACCTGTGTCTAGCAAGGGGCTCTATCTCTTTCCCAAGCTCCAACCATATCCCTGTTGAAATACCCCAGCCCTATCACCTCTAAGCCCAGGTCAGGGTCCTCAGCCTGCTACACCAGGGCCCTGGTTGAGGTCTCTCCAGCCCAGCTTTCAGCTCAGCCCCCCCATGCACATTCCACCGGGTGCCCTGGACCTCAGTCACCAAGGCCTTCCCTTCTTCTCACCCACAGATCCACTGCCTCCAAACCTAGGAATGTCTCCCTTGACCTCCAGTTCTCTTGTGACAGGAAGCCTTTTCCCACTGGCCCCACCCCAGCTGAAAAGAATGCTTGCTTCCTTCCTGGGGGCTCTGGGAATGCCCCATGCTCTCTAACTCTTCCAAGCACCAAGACTGTTTCCCTTGCACTCTAATCACCTCTCTAAGTTGTCAGTGCCTTGAGGCCAAGGCAAAGTCTTTATCATCCCTTCCTCCCCCCATATCTGACTCTTTCTTTGTTTCTTTCTTTGTTTCTTTCTTTCTTTGTTTCTTTCTTTCTTTCTTTCTTTCTTTCTTTCTTTCTTTCTTTCTTTCTTTCTTTCTTCTTTCTGAGATGGGCTAATGTAGCCCAGGCTATATAGCCCTGGATGGCCTGGAATTCACTATGTAGACCAGGCTAGTCTTGAACTTTCAAGTACATGCATGGGATACTACACAGGCATAAAGAGTCAAGAGTGGCCACACACCTCATTTACAGGATAAGATCCAGAGCCAGACAAAAGTACATGCAGTGTGACTCCACTGCTATGGAATTCTAGAAGAGACAGAATGAATCTATGGCCATGGAAATGAGTCAATTGATTTCCTGGGGTGGGGGCACAGATTGCAGAGGGGCAGGCCAACTTTCTTGGGGGCAGTGTGCAGATGTTTTCTATCTTGATTGGAACATGATTACATCAATCAAAACACATGACCAATACACTAAAAATAAGTGTGAATTGTGTTAAATATAAAACATACCTCAAGCAAATGGGTTTTTAAAAATATTTTATTTATTAATATTTTTATGTGTATGAGTGTATTGCCTACATGTATGTAAGTGCGCCCATGTCATGCCGTGACCACAGAGGTCAGAAGGTGTCAGATCCCCTGGAACTGGATACAGATGGTTGTTAGCTGCCATGTGTGTGCTGAGAACCAAACCCAGGGTTTTCCGCAAGAGTTGCCAGTGCTCTTAACAGTGCTCTTAACAGTTGAGCCATCTCTCCAGCCCAGGATTTTTTATTTTGGGGGCAGGATCTTGCTTTGTTATCCAGGTTGGCCTCAAACTGCTAGCTAAAGCAATCACCTCAGCCTCCCCAGTTACTAGGACTATAGGTGCACCTCACTGCATCCAAACTTGATTTTTAAAAATGAGACATATATAAACTTATTTATATATGGGAGCTTTTCTAAAGTACAAGAAGAGGCCAGGCATGGTGGCACATACCTTTAATCCCAGCATTGGGGAGGCAGAGGTAGGCGGATCTCTGTGAGTTCAGGGCCAGCCTGATCTATATAGTGAGTTCCAGGCCAGCTGGGGCTACAGGGAGACTCTGTCTCAAAAAGACCCAAAAAATTAAAATACAAGGAATAAAATGGAAGAGAGGGCAAGCTATACCTGGTCACAATGAAGGAGAGGGTCTCCCGTCTACACCCCTTTGTAGCTTTGTAGCTTTTTTTCTTTTGAGACAGAGACTCACAAGGTCTAGGCTAGCCTTGAACACAAAGCAATCCTCCTTCCTCAGCCTCCTGAGTGCTAGGATTATAGGCATGTGCCACCATATTGGCTTTATTTCTTTGTAGCTTTTGGAGTTTGAAGGATGTAAATGTATTATCTAGTCAGAAAAGAAATTTTTAAAAAATTTAAATATAAGGTCAGGCATGATCATGCACATCTTTGATCCCGACACTCAGGAGGCAGGTGGATCTCTATGAGTTCAAGGTCTACACCTTGGTCTACATAGTAATTTCCAGGCCAGACAGGGCTACATAAGGAGACCCTGTCTCAAAAGAACTTTTTTTAAAAAAAATATTTTATTATTTTCATTTTATGTGTATGAGTGTATTGCCTGCATGTACGTGAGTGCACCCATGTCGTGCAATGCCATGGAGGTCATAAGAGGGCTTTGGATTCCCCTGAAACTGGAGTTAAGAAGGGTTCCTAGCCACCATGTGGGTGCTGGGAATCAAACCCAGGTCCTCTACAAGAGCAGTCAGTGCTCTTAACTACTGAGCCATCTCTCCAGTCCCAAAGCAACTTTTTAAAATATAAAGCAGCACAAAAAGCTGGGCATGGTGGCTCACACCTGTCATCCCAGCACTCAGGAGGCTGAGGCAGGAGGAGTGCCAGGGTTCCAAGAACAATCTGGGCTGCATACTGAGTTTAGAGCAGCCTTGACTATATAGTATGAAACCTGTTTCAAAAAACAAGCTGGCTATCAAATAGAACACAAAAATAAAATCATTAAATTAATTTCTTCTTTTGGGCATGGTGGCACACGCCTTTAGTCCCAGCACTCGGGAGGCAGAGGCAGGCAGATCTCTGTGAGTTCATGGCCAGCCTGGTCTACATAGTGAGTTCCAGGCCAGCTGGGGCTACAGAGAGACCCTGTCTCAAAAAGACCAAATTAATAATAATAATAATAGTTTCTTCTCCACATCTCCTTTTTATGCTTGTCCACTGATGTAGGCATACATATGTATCTCCAAAGTACAAATTTTTTAAAAATATTTTGGGAAGGAAGGGTTTTTTTTTTTTTTTTTGGTTTTTTTGAGACAGGGTCTCCCTGTAGCCCCAGCTGGCCTGGAACTCACTATGTAGACCAGGCTGGCCATGAACTCACAGAGATCTGCCTGCCTCTGCCTCCCGAGTGCTGGGACTACAGGCGTATGCCATCACACCCAGCCGGGAAGGAAGTTTTTTAAGTAATATTTTGTTTATGCTGTTTTGTGTTTTGGTTTTATTTTTGAGAGAGAGAGAGAGAGAGAGAGAGAGAGAGAGAGAGAGAGTCTCCCTGTAGCCCTAGCAACCTAGGAACTCACTATGTAGACCAAGCCAGCCTCTGCATCCAGAGTGCTGGGAT